CCGGTGGAGGGCAGAAGGGAATAGGGGAATGACATTCGGCCAGAGACAATAAATACGGGAGCACACAGGTAAAGGTGTGAGGGGGGTTAAAGGCAAAGAACAGGTTATCTTCTACAGTAGGTGGTCCAGAAGGTTCCTGGAAGGAGTTTAAGGATAAGAGGAGACCGGCCCACCAGAAGTGTTGGAGGGAGGGAGGTGTGGGGGGAGGTGCGGGGATGGTGGTCCAGGCAGAGGGAACAGCATGTGTGTGGCCTCTTTGCTGGACAGAGCTGGCCTCTTGGGGAAACCAAACAGAAGCCTGTGTGCTGGTGGAGAAGGGCGGGTGGTCAGAGATGAAGAGAAAGCAGGCAGGGATGGGGCTTGCACCTGACCTTTCTGAGTTTGGAATGTTTTTTCACCTTCACCAGGAAGCCATCCTTGGGTGACATAATCTGATTTACTTTGTAAAATACAGAAAAGGATAAAGAAGAAACATCTGTAGTCTCTCTCTTGAAATAACATTTGTTAACCTGTTGGTATATTCCCTGCCATCTTTATATTCTGTTGTTTTCTTGGTCTTTTTTTTTCTTAAGTATATGTAGGGGCTGCCTGGGTGGCTCAGTCAGTTAATTGTCTGACTCTTAATTTTGGCTCAGGTCATGATCTTGGGGTTGTGAGATTGAGCCCTGTGTTGAACTCCATGTGGGGCTCCGTGCTGGGCATGGAGCCTGCTTGGAATTCTCCCTTTCCCCCAGGCCCCACTTACCCTTACTCTCTAAAATAATTAATTAACTAAAAAGTTTAAAAATTGTATATTATTATACAATAAGGGTTTTCCCCAAACCTAAAATAGTTTGCAAAATCATCTGTCCGCCTAATCTTCCGAAACATATCTGTGCCCTAATTTACCTAGCCATTCTCCTGTTTTTCTTTTCTCTTGTTTTTTTGTTTTTTGGTTTTTTTTCCTTTACATATGGCATTGTGATGGGTCTGCTTATGGGAAAAGCTGTTCTATCTATGGTAGCTGTGCTGTGCTCCCTGTTAGCTCCTCTTGACAAAATTCTGGAAACAAGTGTTTTTCAATGTGGCGTGAAATCTGCCACCTATCAGAATGGCTTCTGGGTTAGGCCAAGTATCTCGCCTCACGAGGCCACATACACATGGCCGTGGCAAAGCCCCTGTCAGCCTTCCGTACATGACGATAACCCCGGCAAATATAGTTTCTAATGCTTGCCAAAGGCATTATCATTCTCCACGGAAGAAAGAAACCCTTCCATTATCCTTCTCCGTGATGCCCTGTCTCTCCTCCGTTTATTACTCCATTTATGAGGAAACAATTTTGTTATTTATGTACCTCCAACATCAATAAATGAATGTGAGAAAAGAGAGGAGAGCTTTGGTGGAGTGGAGCCTGAGTTTGCAATCACAACGGGGCATCCGTGGGGGACATGGCTCTGGGGTTGTGTGGGGGGGGGAGGTGTCAGAGCCAAAGATAAGACAAGCGTGCAGAGAGAGGAGAGGAGGAAGTCCAGGACAGAACTCTGGACTGGGACCATTGCGAGGGAACGGCCGGTGAGGGAAGATGGGGACCAGGGCAGCACAAGGAGGAAGAAGCCAAGACAAGGCAGTAATGCAGTATCGCCTGTCGTGTGCGGCGAAGCCCAGCCCGTGATGCAGGGACAGGTATGGTGTCACTGCTCGTTTGATAAAACCAGATCAGTCACGTCCGTGTTCTGTGATTTCACCATAACCTGAGGTTGATATCCTCTTCATCTTCGAAAGAGCATGGACCTGTTGCCTTTATTCATGTCACCTGCCCCGTGTGGATTTGGTAAAACAGGAAATATTAGGAAAAATACTTCCTTTAAAAGTTCACTTTAAAAAGTTGGAAGAGCAGTACGCCTGGGTGGCTCAGCCGGTTGAGCATCTGCCTTGGGCTTGTGTCATGATCTCAGGGTCCTGGGAGCGAGCCCCGTATCTGCCTCCCTGCTCAGCGGGGAGCCTGCCTCTCCCTCTCCCTCTGCCCCTCCCTCTTCTCATGTTCTCTCTCTCTCTGTCTCAAATGGATAAATAAAATCTTTAAAAAGTTGGAAAAGGAAAATCACTCCCCCATCATTCTCTCACGCGCGCGCACACACACACACACACGTGCATCCTTAAAATAGATGTCATAATTACTCTTATGTTTATAAAGTACTTCATGTCTTGATTTACAGACCTGCAAATTTGGAAAGGCTGTTACAAAATTACTGAGTAGACCCACGAGAACATGTTCCCGGGTCCCCTGTGTGAACACTACCCCTCGAGTAAAATGTGCCCCCACCCCCCCCAGAATGCCACACCACCACTGGCCACAGGGTGCCAGGAGCTGAGCAAAGCCTCGAGGGGGGCCCGCCATGCCCACACCACCGATGATTTTCCCCTCCAGGCACGCTCCGTGCTCTGGTGTCTCTGGCCTTCCACAGCTCTTCCTCCCTGGCATGCTCTCTCCCTCCAAGGGACCTTTGCGTTAGCCCTTCCCTCTGCTTGGAACGTTCGTCCCTGCATCTCTCCTCAGCTGCCACTGTTTTTGGGGTTCGGCTACATGCTGTCTGCTCAGACCGCCCCCTTCACCACAGTTACACCCCTCCATTTTAGTTCCCTTGCAGCACTCCTCACTCCCTGGCATTTTTACTGCTTGGCTGGGTGCTCATTTACAGGCAGTCTTATGGCCAGCCGTTCACTGGGAGAAGGGTCTTTCTAAAACCCAAAGTCCATGTTCAAAGGGTCATGGGGAAATAAAGAAATGAAGGATTTGGTTTCTGCTACAGAAATGTTCATGATGTTGCTGCACTCATCAGCGCTTGCCTCCCCCTGCATTAGAAGATGGATCCATGGGGCGCCTGGGTGGCTCAGTTGTTAGACATCTGCCTTCGGCTCAGGTCATGATCCCAGGGTCCTGGGATCGAGCCCCGCATCGGGCTCCCTGCTCGGCGGGGAGCCTGCTTCTCCCTCTCCCACTCCCCTTGCTTGTGTTCCCGCTCTCGCTGTGTCTCTCTCTCAAATAAAGAAATAAAATCTTAAAAAAAAAAAAAGAAGATGGATCCAGGGTGAGACCAGGAAGCGAAGCTATAGTTGTTGCTGCTCGCGGGCTCGAATATGGAGGAGATGGATGCGGCGGGGAAGGGTGGGAAATCTCAGCCCAACTCGCTAGGTGTGGCTCTGTCCCAGAGTAAACGTCCTCGCATCAGGGTAAACATAGACCTCCTCTGACTTAGAAACGTTTTTAATTATAGCACTTCTCATTTAACTTGGTGTTACTGGGTGCTTCCTATACACCACCATTTGGTCAGTTCCTCTCTGTTTTAAGAGCCCCTTCTCCACTGTCACTATATATACTGGGCTTTCTTTGACATTACACTCTAGAGGGACGCAGAAAGTCCACATGACTTGTTCCATTTGATCAGAAGGGAACAAAATCTTTCAAAGCCATTCTTGAACCGATACGTTTCCTCTTAGCCAAATCATGAATGAAATTATAATGTTCTTTATGAAACGTAAGAAATTTAAGTGACACGTCCACCTTAGTATTGTGATCTGGGAGTCTAGAACCTTTTTAAAAATGTTTTTGTCCTGTTTGCTTGTGTTGAGTTTTACTTTTTTTTTTTAAAGATTTTATTTATTTATTTGTGAGAGAGAATGAGAGACAGCACAAGAGGGAAGAGGGTCAGAGGGAGAAGCAGACCCCCTGCTGAGCAGGGAGCCGGATGCGGGACTCGATCCCAGGACTCCAGGATCATGACCTGAGCCGAAGGCAGTCGCTTAACCAACTGAGCCACCCAGGCGCCCAAGTTTTGCTTTTTTAATAGTATAGGCAATCTATGTCAAAGACTTTTCTATTACATTTCGTAATCAAAGTAAAATGATTATAGGTGTTAATTTGCTATCAGTGTACCTGTCAGTCTTTCTAAACTACATCTTTGCCAATCTTTCATTTTGTATTTTTAAATATTTTTTAATATTTTCAATATTTTTCATTTTTGACTCATCTTTGGTCATTCACTCAGAAGCTTATTCAGAGGTTCATTATTTAAATCCTTGCATACCTGAGACTTTTTGACCAACAGAGGACAGCTTGGTTGTGTGGACAATTTTTCAATCGGTTTACAAAAACCACTTACCTTGCGACTTTGAATTTATCATTCTTGTAAAGCCCAGAGCTTTGTGATGGTTTTCTTTTTTCTTTTATTCTGACCCTAAATTAAATCATTCCAGAGATAAGTGGACGGGGACAGAACAAGCTGGCCATTCATGGCCACGTTAGCATGCTTGGTGTGCCGTTTAAATCATTTATCACATTAGCTGCAAAACATGGTTGTGACATTTCGGCAGCCTTCCATTTGACTGGGGTCCAACGTACAGCACTAATTAATCCATAGATGATGCTGATCACTTCCCATCTGTCTCTTTTGCTGGCACTATTTCTTTGAGACAGAAGACCCTGCCAATGGGTTAGGGTATACCATCCTCCATCTAATTTCATTCCTAGACTCCTTGACCTGCGGCTTTGGATGTACCTGTCAGCCTGTGGACAAATTGGGATAGCCCTGTACGGTTCACTGTTACCCACTGTGGCTCCATCACACATTTCTTTCTGCAGACTGTTCATGTCTGCACACGATGAGAGACAGTGTGAGGAGGTCATCCTTGGACTTGGCATAAGATCCAACTACATGACAAGAAGCCAGAAATTTAGACAGAATCCATTCCCAGTGACTTCTGTGGCCAGTACCTAGAGTTTGGAGTACACCCCCTCCAGGGTAAGAGCCTCTTCTATCAGATTCTCATAAACTGGTCTTCTTCCTACAGTTTCTTGAAACATGCCCTGCCCCCACCCACACCCTTCGTTAAAGAACAAAAGCTTTTAGAATTATTATTTTTATATAGTACCGTTTCTTCTCTACCTTTCCTTCTTATTGTGAAAATATTAGGCATTGAATCCCTTTACCTCCCCCTTGCCCCAGAATGTGGTGACAATTGAAAAATCTCTCATCAGCTTTGTTCAGGGATCATGACAATGAAAGGAACCAACAGAGGGCTGCAGGCGCCTCCTACAGACAGAGCCCCTTCCATCCATGCAGAGAAAGAATGGCATATTGTCTCAGTTTAACAGATTTATCCCTGGCTTTGTTTATGTTCATCCAACCGTTTAGAATCAAAATGCGTTCAGGATTTAGTGGTCAGGTGGTCCGCTGCAGAATGAATGGTATTCCGAACCCCCGCCTCCCAAAGTCCCTGCACACCAACAACACCTGGGAACGTCATGCAAACCCAGAGACCCAAATTCAGTAGGTTATTGTCGGGTTCAGAAATCTGTCTTCTTTTCTGAAAGCTTCCAGGCTGTGTCGATCATTAGTCACGTGAGGGGAAACCGGAGAATTTCTGCATCCTAGATTTGTAAATGCCTTAGGGATTAAATCGCTCACATCTCTGAAGGGAAACCGAGACCCAAGACCACAAAGGGAATGACCTTGCTAAAACATGCAGAAAGTCATTCAGTATGTCCAGTACATTCACTTGAGAAAGACAGGAACATTTCTGTCACATCTTAGGAAAATTTGCATCCACGTGGCTTACATTTTCTAAAAACTGCTCTTGAAAAGGCAAACTCTCTCACGCTGTGAAAATGCCATCACACCATCCAGGGGTGACTTCCTGGGTTTCCGATGAGTCTGCGTTTCCCTGAGAAGTAAGTGAGGTGTTTAAATCAGTTGTTTCGATGCCCGAAGAAATCACAACACAATTATTTGCATTTTTACTTTGGTCCCCGAGCTTCAATTTGAAAACCTGATTTGGGGGGTGGGCAGTGGACAGTGAAGTCTATATGAAACACTGGACACTTGCTGAATGTCTTTAGGCCACCTGGAAAGTCACTTAAATAAGAGGGGAAAGTATGATCTCTTCTTTGTTTCTATTCTGTCGTGTATCATACACGTTTACTGTGGTGACAATCATTTCTAGAAGGCATTTTGATGTTTTGGGAAAGCAATTTTAACTGGGATTTGCAATGTGTGGATTTCTTCTGCTGTTTAAATTAGATTCTTCACTCATATTGGGGTCAGCATGAGCTTCAAGATCTAGGTACAAGAATTAAACCAGCTATGATAAAGATGGAAAGCAATGAGTTAATGTCTAGAACACATCTGAGAATGTGTGGGTTGAATTCCTGCATTTCTCCATCAGCCATAGCAACAAATTGATACTGGGTCAAATTTTTAAAAATCCAGTTTTGCTGGGCACTCTCATGAGACCAAGTCTCTGGCAGTGGTGGTGATTATATTCCTTTCTAGACTAGGCGCTGCAGGGCTGGAATGCTGGCTATGCAGGGAAGCCGGAGAGGAATGTGTTCACCTCTTAGCCTCGACCTGTGGGTCAGAAGGAGACATCCCTGGAAGCCGAGCTTTGAAAGCAGAAGATAAACGTGATGGATATCAGGGGCCTTAAAAGGGAACAAAGGCAACCGGCCGTCCTGGGGGTACACAGACTCAGCACTTTCCCCGAGCCCCCAGGTTGTGGGCGCTTTGCACGTGTTTGCTCAGACTTTCACAACAGGGCACGAGGACGCTTAGAAGGGGAAGTGTCTGCCCAGGGCTGGTGACTTTCTCACTCTACCACTCAAATTGCCTAGAAGAGTCAAATGTTTAATCTCAAAATCTAAAGGCGACTGAAAGGTGCCTTGATTTGCCGCAAGTGTCTCCTGTGGGGATAAATCAGGGCCCAGGAGGTATACGGGGGCAGGGGAAATGGTTGCTGAGGCCAGGTGGATGGGAGCCCACAGCGGTCCCAGCTGCCCCCACTCACGCTGTCGGGGACCCGCTAGGAAAAGCTGCAGCTACTGCCCTGTCTCTGTCACCCCAGGCTACGGGCAGAAGTGACCTTTGAGGACTCCTCACACTGTCATTCTGGGCTCTTTATACTGGGGCTTCTGCTGCTTCTCTTAAAATTCCCTGCATGTCCTGCACATCCCAGAGAACCAGACTCTGTGTCGGGCTCCCCACAGGGAAGTTCCCTCTGCGTGCTTTCTTGCCTCTGGCAAGACATTCATCCAGGGCCCATGCCTCCCTCCCTCCCAACCCTCCTGAGGAATTCTACCCTGTCCTTTGGAGCCCAACTCCTTCACCTTTCTAAGACCCTGTTCTCAGAGCCCCAAGGGCATGCTGTTTCCATCTCTTTGCACTCTCTGCCTTCTGTGGTTCATCCACCCAATTAATTCCAGTAAAAATCTTTGTTTACTCAACAATCGTTACGTAATAATACATCCTCTAATGAGCAATTAGCTTTTGGGGCAGCATTAAAAATCTACTGGATTGAAGTACATTTGATGAGAGTTAATCTGTGACTGTCGCTGTCCTCAGAGCGGGGGTGGCTACATCTCAGACAGGTGGGGGGCCCCCCCAGTCCTCCCCTAGAGACTCACCTCTGGCCTTTGATAACCTCCTTGCTCTTTGGCATGATGTTCCAGACTCGCTCACCTGCCGTGTCCCTGGGCCAGCCATTTCTGCAAGCATCTCTGCTTTCCTTTGCGATCAGACCGATCTGGAGATTATAGAATGGTACCTCGTGTGGGTCATAATCTGTATTTCCCTGACACTCTACAATATTGTAATGTTTTCTTATATTTATTCCCCAGGTATGCTTTCTCCTTCGTGATGCCTGGCCGTGATTTTGTCCAATTTACACATATGTGTATGTACATGCCTGTACACATATGTGTATATTCATGTATATATATTCATATATATGCACACACATATACCCACAACACATATGTATCCATATGGATCGCTCACAGACTCATGGTTCATTATTTATTCTGCACAGTAATCACTTGACAATTGTATGTTTCACAAATATTTTCCCCTCCTTTATGGTTTATCTTATCGCTTTATTATGGTTCCTCTCATGGGACAGAACATTTTCATTTTATGTGGGCAAATTAAAAACATTTTTTGTTAAATGAAACACATTTAGAGGAAAACACACAAGAGTGTACGGCTCGGTGAATTACCACAAGGGGGGAACACTCTTGCAGCACCATGGACATTGGGAGGAAGACCACCAGACGCTCCCTGAAGGGAACTGCTATTCTAACTTTTAAGGCAATGCACACTTACCTTGATAGCCATTTCTCTAGACATTTGTCTCTGAGCTCTGTGGCTTCGTGCTGCCTGTCTTGGGGGCCGCTAGGTAAACGGAGCTACACAAGATGATTTTTTGTGGGTTCTTTCACTTCACTTTTCGGAAACTGACAAGGTGATTCTAAAATTTGTACGGAGATTGAAGGGTCAAGAATAACTGAGACGTTACTGGATAGTGAGACTTCTCCTAATGATGCAGCGATTAAGACAGCGCTTACAGGGACCCTGGGTGGCTCAGTTGGTTAAGCGACTGCCTTCGGCTCAGGTCATGATCCTGGAGTCCTGGGATCGAGTCCCGCATCGGGCTCCCTGCTCTGCGGGGA